TGCAGTCACTGAGCGAAAGCACAAAGCATCCCATGTGGAGCCATGAATTAAACATGAGAACACCACAGAGAAACCCGACAGATGACACGAGAAAGCTCCTGGATGATTTTGACTTTGATTTAGACCAACAGCAGCAGATTACCTGCTCTGTTAGAGGCCAGTTCCTGCTGAGCAACAAACCTTTTTACACCTACACCCCATCGGTTATTGACGACTTTCCTCCCTCTCAGCTCAAATTCAAATGATTTGCAATAAAAAGCCAAGAGGAAAAGGAAACAGCTGCTGTAATGCTGCACTTTCAGAGGAACACATATGAATTCAAATCTACTTTATTTATATAGCACAAATTCACAACAACAGTCACCTGAGGGCACTTTATGATGTAATTATACAGAGAAAACCACAACAATCAGACAAACCTGTATGAGAAAACACTTGGTGACAGTGGGAAGGAAAAACTCTTTTTTTTAACAGGAAGAAACCTCCAGTAGAACCAGGCTCAGAGAAGGGCGGCCAGAGTTTAATACGATTTTAAATCCTACATTTCTTAGCAGTATTTAATAATATAAGTATAAGGTTCAACCTGTTTGTGTCCAGTTAACACTTTAATATTTCTCCTTGATTTCAGTCTGAAAATTCGCTAATACTGTTTATTTAAAGTAACGATGGACTCACCTGCTCTTAGTTATTCTGTGAGGGCCGTTATCAGTTTTCTGCTGGTGCTGCTGAGGTGATAAAAATCACAAGAATCAGGCCTTCATCAGAGCAATAACCCACCACAGTAAAACATCATAACTGGAAAAGTCAGGATTAATTCAGTCTGTCAGTGTAAAAGTTATTTAAAAGCAGCTGAAAAAAAACAAACATAAAATGACATAAAGAAACACAAAGACTTACAAAACAACTAGAATAAATAAATGAATGAATAAAAACAACCAAAGACAGTACCTTGTAGTGGTTGCACTGTGGCGGACTACCGTTGACCTGGTAATACTCCACCAGCCTCTCGGCCAGAGCGATACGTCTCAGCAGATTCTCGATGAAATGCTGGATTCGAACTTTGCCGCACGTCTCCTGGCGAACCGCTGCCTCCAGAAACTTCTGGATGGTTAACACTTCCCTGCAAAGCAAAAATCACCCAATTCATAACTTAAATATACCATTCACCCCCAGCTATGCAAGAGAGGCAAAAGGGAAATAACAGGCTGCACCTTCAGATCCTGTCCATGAATCTGATAAGCAGGATCAGAGACAAGGAGCAACCCTGGAGTCCAGCACCATCCACCTGGCACATCCTCCAGACCAGCGGTCCCCAACCTTTTTTGCACCATGGACCGTTTTATGGTCGACAATATTTTAACGGACCGGCGTTTAAGGTGTCGCGCATAAATACAACAAAATAAAACCAGTACTGGTACCAAAAAAAGGAAGATTTATTCTTAACAAACAAAAAAATAAATCCCTGAAAACATAAATTTCACCCCCGAACCTCAACTCTCGCGGCCCAGTACAAAACGACTCCGGTCCGTGGCCCGGGGGTTGGGGACCGCTGCTCCAGACCACATCAGTGAGATCCTGCCCGCCTCACCTCTCTCGTCGCTCCAGCTCATTCTCTGAGGCATTGAGCTGCTCCCTCAACGCGGCAATAACCATCACAGCCACATCCACCTGTCGGCTAAGCGACCTCTCCTTGTCTGCAACTTCCTGCCTCTCCTGGGCCAGATGCTGTGAGTGAGCACGCTCACACAGGAGCTCCGTGTCGGTATGAGCCAGCTCGGTGCTCACCCTGGCCAGCCGGCGCTGCATGGTGCTATCGGCCGCCCTCAGAATGCTGGCCAGCCGCTGCCGCACTGCAGCCGAGGCTGCTGCCGTCTCCAAACCGGAGTAGGAGTTGTGCTCTGGTAGGTGCAAACAAGACGAGACGTTACTGCAAAAAACAGATGTATTCTGATACTGCAACACTCTGCTCCAGAAACCCACCAGTCAGATCCAGATCCAGGTCCAGATCTGGGTCCGGTGGAGGGCCAAGTGGGGGGAACAGTATGTGATGGTGGTTGATGTGGTGATGGTCTGACTTTTTTGAGGAAGTTTTCAAATCCTCCTCATTTCTGCTTCCACTTCTCTCTTCACCCTCATCGTCCTCATCCTCCTCGTCTTCTTCCACATCTTCGTCTTCTGTCCCCACATCGATTTCCTCGTCCTCCTCCTCCTCCGCCTGCGTCCCTACCCCAACGCTCTGGGTGCGCCTCCTCGCAGACCCATATGAGTGGAGGTATCCGCTGTCTCTGCTGTCGCTGAGAGAGCGGACATGAGGTGGCCTCCCTGTACTTTGCTGCCCCCTACGCGTCGGGAGGCTCATGTCGTGCCACGGGATAGCTGCCGTCAGCGGGTCGGGGAGCTTCCCGGTAATGCTGAACCCTTCAGTGACCATGTCTGGTGAGCGATACGAGTGGCGGTACTCGAGGTGAGCGCGGAGGGAAGCCAAACTGTGGAAACGCTCTTGCTCGCCACAGCGGGGACAGCGGAAGGGGAGGTCACAGGGAGTGACAGTGTCCACAATCGCGCCGCAGGCCTGGCCGTTCCTCTCTAAAAGGAAGGATCCAGAACCTCGGGAACACAACTTCTGCTGCATCACCTTACACCTGAGAAGTACGGAGGGGATTAGTGCTGAAAGACTGAAGACCCTAATTTACTGACTACAAAAGCTGCATTAGCTCAAACACCCACTCCATAGACTCCCAGGTTAGAATGTCCAACTTTACAGCAGACACAAACTTGGTAACCTTTAGGATGTCTAGAGATAACCCTGCCTGACCTCATCTGTCCATCACCACTGCAGACAACAAGGGGCTCAGATCAGACCCCTGATGTAAACCCACCTGTCAGCCCTTCACACACCCCACCTCATACATATCCTGCACCACCTTCACATACTTGACAGTCTATCATATGGTTTCTGTAGATCCACAAAGACACAGTGCAACATCACATCCTCGTTTCAATACATTTATTTAATTTATTTAAATGTACATTGCATTTCTTTTTACAATAAAAAGACAAAAAAGATTATTATGGGCGATGAAAGCCTCATTTTACACAGCTTATTTGTTTTGTTTTGGGGGTTTTAAACACATATACATAGTCATGTACACCTGGGCTAATGTTAAGTTTCTGTTACCTTGGAGGATTATTGTGTTTATAGTTAATATAGACCGAAAATATGTGATTTTAAGTGAGCTCGGACCGGCTGAGCACAAACGGAGAGGACTTCCCCCTCGGTTCCCCCTCAGAGTCCGTTTGATCCCGAGTCTGAACAACAGGTACCTGTCGTTATCACAAAGCTGCACCGTTAGCTTTACCTGGCTGCAGCTGCTAGCCTAGCCTAGCCAAGCGGGTTAGCAGAGACCGAAACAATCGCTGAATCACGGCGGAAGGATTTAAACTCTCTTACCGCGCGCAGCTTTAACGGCTGCCTTCAGATGACACTCCCAGATGACCCGTTACTGTCTGAAGGAGTCCGCTCGCAGCCCGACGCAAACAGCAGCCTGCATGATGTCATTCATTCAGGACACATAGGACCAGACAGCAAGCTAGCAGCGCCGCTGACCAGCCACATCCGGGAAAACGTTTCAAAATAAGATCAAATGCGTCACTTCCGTCCAGGGTGCCGGCGAAACTGTTGGTTTTGTTCATTTATTTATATTCAAGGTTTTTATTCTTTCTTTTTTTTTTTTCGTTTTAAACGTATTTATTAGAATTTTTCCTCTTTTTTTACTTTTACTGCTGTCATATGACTGCTCAGGAAAAACCTGAAAGCTGGGATGGCGATGCATCACCACCAACGATGAGACTGACTGTGAAAACTAGTGCAGTAATCGGTGCATGAACAACTGAGGAACTTTTTCCAGCAAGTTGTAAGACTGTTGAACTCTGGCACTGCTCTGGAGCCTCTGAAATGTTCACTCTCTGCCTGAACATTTTCTTGTTTATAATAATCATAATAATAATAATAATAAAAGATTTTCTTATGTATACTGAATAAGACTGTAAATGTGTTTTCTGTTCTGTTGCTTTTGTGTCTTCACTCTTTTTGGTTTTCAGGTCTCGCTGGACTTGGGTGCAAATGTTCGTTTCATGTGAATACATGTGTAAGAATGACCAAAAAGAAAAAGCATTGAATCTGTCTTATTTAAAATGTTACTTATTTTTACTTTTTGTTATGTTTTATTTGTACCATTTTGAGCAATCTTTTATTTTTACAAAAATAGCTTTTTTATTATTTTATAACATTTTATATGAAGCTATTTTATTAGCTTAGTTTTGGCTACTGTAACACAATATCTTAACTTCTGGGGATAGATATCATTTTTATTTCTTTTTAGATACTTTGTTTATCTCAAAAGTGGAAAATTCCTTTGTAACAGCAGTTACTTTCAACACAACATTAAACAAACAGCTTAAAGGTACAGTGTGTAGAATTTTTCACCACTAGATGTCAGTAGATTGCAGGTTGCAATCAGCTGAATTCTGTTTTCTTACTTCTCCCAATTTAAGTGTATTATTCCAGCTATGGTGGCTGTTATAGGACAAGCAGGTTTTTGTCAGCCATAGATAAAAAACATTACCATCAGATTTTATCCCTTACCAGCCACAGCTGGCTGTATATTTCTACTACAGTTTGTTTAAGAAATACTTTTCATACAAATTACATTTGAACATATTTGAATAATATCATCACTTAGCAAAAGATCAGGAAATACAAAAATGAACAGTTTGTTGGATAATTTAATTACACACTGTTCCATGGACATTTATGGATACAGTATGCTTTTTAAAAAAAAGACAAAATAGCCAAAAAAAGTACTGACTGTACCTTAAATTAAGCTTGAAAAGCTAAACTTTTTAGATTTAAGATTAAAGTCATCCAACTTCCTCAAAACATTCAGATGTCCCCCGAGAGTAAACTTTAAAATTGTTTCATCATAAAAAACCCGACAGAGTCAAGACAAAAGAGATCTATTGTTTATTGCAATGATATCTTCCAGCGATGTGCTGTTTGTAGTAATGTACATGTAACTCAAAATGTGACTGTTTTACAGTATTGTTTGATTGCCACAGAATCAGCCACAGGAGTGTTTCCTGAACTGCACCATCATGGTTCCAGGTAGCTGCCGTTCGAACGAGTGTGCTCATTTGATTTGAATCATCAGGACTACACCAAACATCTCTCACTTTATCTACTTTATGTGATTTAAAGGAAACAAAAAGCGGTTTTAGTTTGAGTTAGTCTTCCTCATTTCCTGGTCTAATGATGGATGTTCATATTAAACTTGACCAGAGTTTTAAATAATGAGATACAATAATCCCTGTCAGTCAAAAGCTCCGGTTGCAGACTGCTATAAACACTCAGTTTGTGACAGTTTTTTCTACTCTTGGATCTGTATGATGTCAAAAAGAGGTCACCTGAGGCACAGGAGCCCCACCCCCATCTGATGTTCAAATTGAGAAGTGGGTGGTGCATATATTGCTTGAATACTGGTGCTGTGAATAATGCAAAGTTACTCCAGTCCAAGGATAGAAATATGGAGCTGGAAATGAGCAGAATAGGTTCTAATCACAACACAATCAGACTTCGGTTGAAACTACATTTGCATATTGGGGTTAAAATGCTTGAATCATGAGATCGGTTTTCCCTCTTTCTATCCCTTTTTTTCTGCTTGTTTTACTTGAGATTTAAACAGTGGGTCTTTGGCTGTGAACTGAGCCTCATCCACTAATTTAAGTTTAACAATATTAAAGGTAAACCCACATAAAGATGCCTTTTCCCAAAGCTCTCCTGTGTCTTCCTTTGTCTTCCTCCTACTGACAGTGTGCTTGATAGTTAAGTTTGGCTCCTATCTTTGTTCCTGCCAGACGTTTGTTGAAGACCTCGTCCATCTCTCGGCTCTGCTCTGGTGTGAAATAGTTCTTCCAGTCTCCAACCTCACCTTTGCAGGGACACAAACATCACAAAGTGAAACAGCTGCATTTGGATTCCAACTGAGGATTGATAAGATGTTGGCTAAGTATCACAGTATGCATTTCTCGTTTTCTAGGCTACTTTCTGGGCACCTTTCCTGAAGAAGACATTCCCCATATTGCCGTGGGAGCTGCTGGAGCTTTCCTTCATGGCTTTGAAGGTGCTCGCATCTGCGATCTGCTGCACCTGAGCCTCTGTCAGGCTGAAGCCGTAGAAGCTGGAGATCCTACGGATGTTCTCGCTCAGGTCCTACGGGAAACAGAAGAATCATTACCGCACATTACCACAAACCCCTGCGGTGTCTAACTGTTCTATGTCAAATGCAGCTTTACCTGTTTCAGCTCTTCATATGTAACGACCATGACATTGGGGTCGTCCATCTTCTTCTCCCAACCTAAGGCGTGGTCAAAGTATGACCCCCAGGGAACTACACACAAACAATGACAAAAAATTAATGAATCACAAAGTAAGAAAGATGTCCAGGTCAGAAGATGGCCCCCAAAATCGAAGCCACTCTTTCCCATGCTTAGTTAGAAATGCTTCTGTAATTCTAGTCTTCAGATTTAAAATCAAATTTTATAGATTTTTTTAATCTGAATAAATTATATATATCATATCCGAATATCTCAATTTGAGACGTGTAATTTCCAGGTCTAGGTTCAAATGAATTAATCAAAAACGATTTGAATTTATGAAGTCATATTGTCAGGGTTCTTCCCAGTATTGACGATGGCTTGATTTCCAAATCAATAATCTCATTCATTCTAATGCTTCAGAAACAGTTTTTTTCAGAAGCTCTGAAGTAATTTTTAGGACCTAAAGGTAACCAAATTATTGCTTAACCCATTCTTAACGCCTAAATTTGACCAAGATATTTTTAGCATCCAAAGCTAAACTAAATAGTTTTTATGTCTGTGAAGGTTCTCAGTCATCGTAGTCTGAGGAGCTCGGAAAGAAAAGCGTCATCCAAGAAGCTTCTTCAGTTATAAAAGCATCTGGTGGAGAGTCCCAGATTTTAAGGCCTATGGGAGTGTCCCCACGAGGGTCGTGGTCCCCAGTCGCCCACTCACATCCTGGGCCATCTGACCTCAGGAAATCATATGACAGGGTGGGGCCAGGTTTCACAATGAGCTCACCCTTGGCTGATTGTGACCCACACCCGTTTTCACACCTTGGCTCATGTGATTAGGTAGAGGGGGGTCCATTTGTCCCTCTGTGGGGGGAAACTCCCACAGGGTTTAAATCTGGGACTCTCCACCATTTGACCTTAGAACTGAAGAAGCTTCTTGGATGAGAGGTGAAACGTCTTCAAGCAACTTAAAGAAGTCCAGACGCTTTTCTTTGCAAGCTCCTTAGACTAAATCGTTTTTCACACCTAAAGCTGAGTAATTTTAGCAAACCAAGTACTGTCTAGTGATAAACCTGATGGAATAATCTTTGGTGTCTCAAGCTAACCAAAGCCTTTTTTTAATACACTCTTGGCAGTAACTCCTGTGCCACTCGTTGATAGTTTTCTTTACAGTCAGAAGAATTTATTTTAAATAATTTTTGCTCTTTTTAAATCCAATTTCAGAATCACAGAAACTCAGTCTTGGACCGAGTATTTCTTCTGTACTTTTTCTCTTTTAATAGACATTATAAATCTCTTACTTACAGGTTATGGTATCTGTGTTTATTATACTCTGACAAGCATCTCTCTGTGCTCAGTCCAGGCCTGATAAGCAACTAAACTAACTGTTTTATTGCAGTGCTTCATAGCAAACTCACTAAGTGGGGCCACAGCAGCTCTTTGCCCCACTTGGACCAATCCAACATTTCCACCGTGACCCTGCTGAGTCAGCACTATGTGCTGTTTGTGAGGCCACAAGTGCAGCAAAGCTCAGGATTATGAAGCCAAATCAAAGAGTGAAACAAAAGCTGGTATTTTAATGGACAAGGTTTGGACCACAGTGTGTCCAGCGTTCCTCACATTAATAAGTATTATGCTCGGTTTGTTTGCTCACCTTCTCCACTCATGAACTGGGAGTAAAAGGTGTCCCAGGACTTTGCGGATGGGAGCGCTGGGTTGCTGTTGGAGAAATGATAGAAGGAGACCATTGTGTCTTTCGGGTTTCTGAAGACCACCAGAATCTGTGCAAGACAAACCACACAAATGAGATTTTATTGACCTGGAGAGAGGAGAGAAAGGATACAAGAACAGAAAGACGGGAACAACAGTTACAACTACTCTGAACATTGGCCACATTTTTCCTCAAAGCAGGGTCCATGCGTCGGTCTGTTCTTTTTCTTACAGAGTTTCCACTGTCATCAACCAAGCATCTAAATCCTGGGGTTACATTTGGAAAAGCTGCAGTTCGTTGTGGAAATGAGAGCTTGATTTTTACACAGATGCTTGTGGCAGCAGTATGCAGCTGAACGTCTCCTGCAGAGCTCGTGAAACTCACCTTAGTCTTCTTTTCGTAGAAGGAAGCAGGAATGTTGTCGGGGTGAAGGTGAGCACCCAGAAGTCTTGGAGAAGGAGCTTCTTCCACGTTCTGAGGGTGGACACAACATACCATATTTACCCAACATTTTATGACATGCACTTAGAGTCTTATTCTGGTGAAAGCAGGGAAGGCGTTGCTTGTGCAAACACTTTGGCCCAGGGTGTGGCTTTTCAGCAACCCAGTGTACCAAAGGACCGGCACCGGTCTGCAGCTTCACATTCTCTGGGTCGATTCAGTCTGCTTAAAGCAAATTTGCAGAATTTCTGCTGTAATTTGTCAGGGTTGTAATGCTACAGGGTTCGACTCACGATGAATTACTGTCTGCACGTTTGTGACTGAACAGCTGCAACACGCCCAGATGTGCCTTTTCTTTCAAACAGGAAGTGAAAAAGCACCTTCAGGGAATCACATCTGCTCCTCAGTGAGCCAATCAGCTGCTTTTCCCAGAGTCAAACCACAAAAATGCTGAACTCTGTTGACTTTGTTGACTGCTATAATCTTATGTACAGCACTTTGTGATTCTGTCTTGAAAGGTGCTACATAAATACAAATTTTCTTTTATTTTTTTTATTTTTGAAGTATCTTTGATTTATTTCCAGCTAAACCGAATTTAAGTTTTGGAAAATTACGAGGAAAATGCTGTGAATCCAAACAGGAACAAACAAAGCAGCTGCTTCACATGATTACGTCACACCTGGAAGTGATTTCAGCTGCAGTCAAGCTGTAAACACAAACGTTTAAACGTAGTTTCAGGATTTATTCTTTTAAAATATTCACTACACAAACTGTTTGATTACAGTTAAGTTTGCGTGCTTGAATCCAACCTTTCACCTAATATGACTTCATACAAATATATTAGTTCTTCTACTTTAGGCAGGCACGTGTGATCTAACTGTACTTTTTAACTTGCAGTTATTAAACACAGGTTTTACTGGTTTTTCTTCCTCAGGCGACTCTGGGATCAAATCAGTGCTGTCAAAAGAAACTGAGGAAAAGGCCTCCATACTCTAAACATGAACTGTGTAGGAATCAGCCTATTAAATGACTTCCACATGGGAGCAGACAAACCAACTTCCTGAAGAAAGCAAAGACTGAAAAGACATTTTGCTCTGTTTTTACATAGATGTGATCTTCATCTCGGGGTCTGATTTAAACCTTTTATCTCATAAAATGTTGAAGCAGCTCACAGACGTTCAGTGACTGAACGCTGAGGAGAAGCCTGACAGGAATCCAGATGTGGATCAGGGACCTCGTCAGTACTGTGCTGTAAAATAACATCCACACAGCTCCTCATCAATGCGTGCTCCGGGGTTCCAGTACAACGAGCCCGGCTTCTTTAATTTATTTGATGTGTTTTGGTTTAAAATTGTAACGATGAGAAAACGGACAGCCTTCTCCCGGTCACATAGAACTGAGAGAGTCCGAATAATTGCTAATCACTTTATGTTTAGATTTTTTAATTGTTAAATTGAATGAACAAGGCTCGGCCAGTAGCAGCAGCTGATGAAATATTGTCTTATTTTAGTGCATATTTTACAAACATCAGTGTTCAGACTGTTAAATTAGTAATCTGGGTTAGGGTTTTAGCCCACAGTCGGCCCAGTACGATATAAATGCAGATTATTCTGAAGCGAATCATGCAAAGCCACTGTAGTGGAGCCTAACAGTAAAAATGAGTTCACATTAAAGAAAAATGCATGAATGGAAAATGCACTTCTGTGGTTTCTGGGTTTGAATGACATCTTTATTTTCATCAGAAGGTAACGGCTATAAACTGTACTGAGAGACACGAACGCTGCAGACAGTGAATGTGCCTCCCCTGGAGCAAAGCCTTCCAGTTTCTTAAACCATGCCTGTTTATCATATAGCTAAAAGCACCACACACACAAGTGCTTCAGACGTGTCGCCGCGCCCGCGCTGTTAGATGGTATCTGTGTCTGCACAGGAGCAGGTGTGTCACGCAAACACAGAGGCGCTCTGCACGGCTCGACCTTTCACCTGTACAGCACACCTGCAGACAGGAGGCCGGCTTCTAACAATAACTGTAATAATAATGACTGATTTTTAGTGTCTCATATACATTATACAACACACACACACACACAACCTTTAAATTTTCTGGTCCATGAAACTCGATCAGCGGCGGGAGTTTGCTTTCCGACTTCACGCCTGTAGCCGCTGTGATGATCTTCTTTATCACCCCGACCATCCAGTTGAAACCTGCACACACACACACACACACACACGTGCGGTTGTGCTATCATTGCAGAGATTACACAGATATAAGGCCTATAACCCTTTCGTGCTCTCCTTGGTCGTTTCTGTGCAGATCTGTTTGCTTATATTTGCGTGACGCTGGCTTGGGTGGAGCATTAGCCAAAGAGCCGCACGCTCACTGGCTTGTCAATCATCAGCTGTTAGTCAATGAGAATATATTGGATAATCCTTTCTGACACTTCAATGACCAAAAATGTACATTTTACTAACTGAGCTAAAACCTTTTATTCAATATGACCTGAAATAAGCAGCCAAGAGCATGAAGTCATCAGGAGAGTGTTTTTAAGAGGTCCCAGCAGAGGGCAGACTCAGCTACCATCCACTGACGGCCTTTAAAAAGTTTCTCCAACAGAAAACAAGTTTCAACTTTTGCTGTAACCTGGTAGATTTGATATGAAGTGGTGGTGAATGTTCACATTAAACATGTTTCTAATGCTGAGCTCAGTGTTTCCCTGTGAGACTAAAGCTCACACAGCTTTTATACTCTCAGATCTGCATGATGTCACAGAGAAGGGTATCCCTTTGCTCGTCTGAGGAAAAGGATCAGTGTTGAGCTGTTAGTCATGCACAGCTGTCTAAGAACAAAATAAGGAAGTAAAAATGAGCCGAGCAGGTCCCGAACTTCAACTGTGGCTTCCCCGTTTTTCCCTGATACTCGTCTGTTTGTTTTTTGTGCTCTCATTTCAGACTCGTCACTTCCTGGTTTCACGTGTTTCCCACTGTTGTAATCTTTGCCCTGCCCCTAAAGTTTACCTCCTCTCTGTCTTTGTTTTACAGCTGGTTTCCCTGTTGGATTTGTTTGCCTGCTCTGATTAATATCCGGCGTGTGAACCTTTTCCTCGCCTTTTAAATCATCTCTGACTAGTCGGCTCATGATTGATTGCACATTGTCGTGCACTCTTGAGTGAGTCTGGCTGCTGCAGAGTGAAGAGTTCAGGGATTGCACCTAGAAAGCTCATAGGTCAGAGGTCACACCGTCTGATGGAGTTTAAACACGACTAAAAGCATGTTGGCGTTTTTAAATGAAAGGCTCTCATCTTCAGCTCATTAACAGATCTTTTTGACTCGATCAGCATTACTCACCACATTTGGGGTAAGCCACCAGCATGATGTCGTCCTCTCTGGCCTGCATCTTCTCCAGACACTTTAAATGCTCCTCGGGAGACAGGACGGTCAAGTACAGCACACCATTGTATCTGTACACCTTCTCCTCGTTGCTCATCTCCTTCGCCTTCAGCATCTTGGCCTGCAGCGGGCCCATCGGTCCCTCGCCGCTCATCCTGACTTACGCACGGAGCAGAGACTCAAAGAGGAAGGAAACTCGGGAGAAGCTGCAGACGCTGCTGGAGCTGAAAGTGAGAAAGCAGAACTGAGACACAGAGGAAAAAGGGTGTGTGTGTAAAGTAGGAACAACGGGAGGAGGAGGAGGAGGCATCAAGCACCTCCCCCTCCACACACACACAAATATGCAGAAAACCCTGGATTCATGGAGGCGTGGCTGAAGGCTGAATGGAGATCTCTGGACAAGGTTCACCATATGGAGGTGCCAGACTGACTCACACGCGCACACACACACACACACACACACATAAGCGTTACAGATGAGCTTCCTGTGCTCCTTTCTGGTCGGTGAATTGTAAACAGCTTCCTGAAGCGATCCTCTAAATGTGAACTATTAGCCGACAATGACGAGTGGCACAGGAAGCTTTTTAAACTGTTGCTTTAGTGAAACACATTTAAGCATTCGTGTCTTTTTTGTCATGTATTTGTCTCTTATGACCAACTCAGCCCATCACTGCACTCCTGCTGCACAGAACTAACCAGTTGTGGGGTTTCATAACCTGACACCTGAATACAAGTGAAGCCTTTATTTAAGCCTGTGTCTAATTCCTGGACACCGAAAAAGTTAAGAAAACTTGTTTCATGGCCAAAACGAGAGCCAGGCTCCAAGAGCAGAGCGTGCTATAAGTGGGCGGGGCTAATCCTCATTCATTTATCACACAAACCTCAGGAAGCTATTATGTGTCAGTCTCTTAGAAAGAGGCCTCAGTGGCTGCACTGAGGGCATACACAGCTACATTCCTCCAGAGGAAAAGCGTCCTGCTCAGCCCCGGTCCATGCGGGTCCCTGTGGGTGAGGCTGTGGGTTATCTAACTGTTGTGATATTTTGATACCATGATAGCATTTACAGGATATTGTTTTATAGTGATATCATACATGAAACTGTTACTCAATAAGGCCCATTTACTAGTTGTTTTTCTCTTTCTCTGTGACCCAAGAATTAATGTGTAAGACTCACAGGCTGGTACCCCAAGGTCGAAAACACCACAGAGACGAGACCACCTTCTTACTCCCATCCTCCCTTTTTCTTTATCTCTTAGAAAAGGCTCGTTAAAGGCCAGGTGGTTTGTTTCAGAATTCACTAATGAAAGAACTCTGTATTCTATGTCTAGGAGTGTATTTTGCTGGGATGATCATAATTTATAGCTGAACTGATAAACTACACAAAGGATACTTCTTTGCTCAGTAGGCAGGAAGACATTTCCTTATTTGGTCTGTACCGGTTTGAACTGGGAAAACTGACACACGAACCTTTTTTCCTCTATATAAACTGTTGTGTACCAAATAAACCTTTGAGTCGATTGGGAAGGCAACCTAAAGCAGTCTCTGTTTTCTTGTTCTCCCAAGCTGCTCCCGAGCTCGTAACTAACCCTGAATGGCATACCTGAGTGTTACTTTGAATAATTAGGAATCTTATAAGGAAAGGACAGAACTCTGCTTATCGCTCGTGCCTTGGAGGGAACCGGGGACGGAAATTTCCTTCAATTTGGCGTCAGAAGTGGGATCCGCTGACGAAGGTAAATATGCGTCTTTCATATTTATATAAGACCGTATTATACCTCTCTCAGTGATCGATCCATAAAAAAAACGGGACACGCCGACGAAGTTTCCTTAGTGGCCCAAGAGATTTGGGATACACTGACGATCTTCCTTGGTCCCCATAAAAAAAACGGGATATGCTGACGAAGTTTCCTTAGTGATCCAGAGAGATACACTGACGATCTTCCTTGGTCCCCATAAAAAAACGGGATATGCTGACGAAGCTTCCTTAGTGATCCAGAGAGATACACTGACGACTTCCTCAGTCCCCGAATAAAGTAAATTAACCCTTGTGTGGTGTTGGTGGACCCGCTAGAGTTGTGGCTTTCCAAATTAACACTATCAAACAATTTTATGTTAAATTACTATGAATTAATGTGCTTCTCGTTTTTCTTTTATATAAAATGTTATAAATAAATCAGTTATAATCAAGTGGAAAGACACAACACATTTACACGTGAAAGAATAATTAATTGTTTAATTTTTCTTTAAAAAAAATAAATAAAATAAAATAAAATAAAAAACGAAAGAAAAGAAAACTGAACACGGGTCTCACAGACCCGATTACCATACAAGGGTTAAAAGCAGTAAATTAAAAGCAGAAAGACACAGGGAGTTGCCTGTTGTTTTGCGAGAAGTTGCTCGTTAAGTGAGAGTTGCTCACCCAAACAAAAATTGCTAGCAATAAATTTAAAGTAACCTCAGCTGTGCCGCAGCGAAATACTAACATAAATCCTTCAAAGCGTGTAAACCCCTCTGGAAATCACTGAACATGGGTCAGAATAATTCAAAGACCACAGACAGGTCCGATAAAAAATCTAAAGTACCTGTAAAACCAAAAATTAATAAAATACAAAATAAAGTCTCAAATAACGGCTCAGTACGACTCCCATTTCCGGTTACGTGTAACCCACGTCCGCGAATCGGCGAAGACTTCCATGATTACGTATCCAGAACATGCGGAAGTACTTACGTGACTGACTTTGTTTACAACTTAAGAACTGTAAGTTCAATGCATTCTAATTTATTTCCGGAGCCCTATCCCGAACGATTATCGCCAGAAAACAGGTCAGTAAAACTGAAGGCCAGTGCAGATACTACCACGAAAGCTAAAAGTGTTAAGATGATGTTGAATTTTGATGTAGAAGGCTCAGAGGAAAGTGAGAAACTAATGTATGCAGGATCATCCGCTCCAGCACAGCAAGGAAGTTTCAGAGGACGGAGAGATAAAAGTAGCGGAGCTCTTCCAGTCAAGGTAACTGGCAACCACAAGCTAGAGGTGCAAATTTAGCTCAGTTTTCCAGCAGCCGCAGACACCCAGAGCAAAAATGAATTTTTGTATTTCATTTAACACAAAGGGTGAAATGTTTGCTGACACTGATAACAGCTTATGTTTTCTCTGCCCTATGTATCGACATGATGGAGAAGGAACATCCTCTGTGTCAGCTGGACCCTCAGCAGAGAATGAACTCAACATCCTTTTTGTCCGGTACTCTATGTCACACACTGTGCCAAAAAAAACGTGTACAGACGCCACTACCAGGTAATCCCATGACTGGGAGCCACACTTTTGTTTCTCTCACACTGTTCAACAACATGATAACTGCTCACACAAGTGAAGGTCAAACAGTGATTTTGTCACATAACTCAGACATAGTTTATGACATAACTATACCATGTGGACACATAGATCTAACCTACCCTACACTGTACTATTTCTGCAGTTACATTGCCAGCTGAATACCAGAATATGACATTATGGTCAAAAAGTGAGAATGATATAGGATTTATTGACTGTACACTTTATCACGCACACCTATTAAAACACAACAAGCCAGTATATGTCAAGCAACATCCCATTTCTGCCGAAAAAGCCGCAGCCCTAGATGTCATCATAGGAGATTTATTGACTATAGGAGTAATAAAGCCCACACTCCTGACAATCCTGTGCCAAAGCCTAACAAACCTGGCGTATGGCGTTTCATACAAGACTTAAGGCAAATTAATGCAGTCAACATTCCTCTGCCACCTCTCGTTTCAGATGTTCACAACATATTGACATGCATTGCATGCACATTTTACCGTGGTGGATTTATGCTCTGCCTTTTTCTCAGTACCTGTGCATGAAGACACACAGCCGTTATTTGCATTCACACATAGAAATAAGCAGTACACTTGGACTCGTTTGCCCCAAGGCATGGTAGACAGCCCTGCTGCTTTCTCAATGGTGGTCCGTGCTACCCTGGACAGCTTCACTCCTCCAGGGCTGTACTGGATGACCTCCTCCTCTGTGCTGAAAGTGAAAAACTATGTCAAACTGCTACACACATGCTTCTCCAGCACCTCCAACAGACTGGCCACAAAGCATCAGCAAAGAAAATGCAGTACTGTCAGACTTCTGTTCAATATTTGGGATTCACACTGTCTCACGGAAAACGTTCCATGACTGCAGACAGGGTCAAAGCTGTGACCTCTGTCCCTCGGCCACTACACAGAAGGAAATGCTGTCCTTCTTAGGCATGGTGAACTATTGCAGACAGTGGATACCAGACTGTTCTTTTCATGACCACATTCTGCGTGACTGTTGTAAAAAAGACAAGCCTCCTCGAATACTGTGATCCACAGAAGTGACTGCCTCTTTCAATGCATTAAAGGGAGTGCTGACCTCCGCCTCAGATTACTCAAAGGTGCTGCCTGAATTGTTCAGGGAATGCCGGCCTGCCTGAGGGCAGTAGCAGCTTGCTCTATCATGATAAGGGACTGCGAGAAGCTTACACTCTCACATGACACTATTCTACACACCAATCACCAGGTCACGACCATTGTAGCAAACATAACTACACAACATATGCAAATCTCACTATAAAAGCGAGCAGCACACCTGATTCGCCAGCACATTTATTGATCCTATGCTGTGTTCTTCTGACCGACAGGATGGCTCAGACAGGCTTGACGATCATGACTGCATGACACGTATACAGGAATCCACAGCACCACGTCCAGATTTAGAGCAAACACCTATCCCAGACTCAGCCACGGTTTATGTGGACGGGTCCTGTTCAAGGCCGAATGACAACTCATTTCTTTGTGGCTATTCAGTGGTAACAGTGCCTGACATCATACTAGAGGCTCACTCATTACCATTTCACTCAGCACAAAAAGCAGAGCTCATGGCTTTAATACGCGCCTGTGAGCTCCATTTGGATAAGCGTGTGACAATTTACACAGACAGCCGCTATGCATTTGGCGTCGTGCATGACTTTGGCACATTGTGGAGACAGAGAGGATTTAGATCTGCTGATGGAAAACCGATTGCTAAATTCTGATTTTGTTCAAAGACTTTTGCAGGCTATACAGCTGCCATCGGCCGTTGCAGTTGTAAAAAACGAAAGGACACAGTACAGCTGACACAGACGAAGCAACAGGTAATGCCTTAGCAGACGTGACAGCCAAGGCTGCAGCTGCATCACAGCTCCCACCTCCGCAGGAAGTATTATCTGTGCCCCTACAGCTGCCACTTGTTACACTCCCAGACTAT